ATTAAGAAACTGCAAGGTCACATACACATTGGTGACTAAACAGATTATCCAAAGAAAGGATATATATATGATGTATACGCTGACACAAAATCAATACAGTTTATAAAACAAGGACCTTAAAAGAATGTTAAAATAAATCTGTCCACATTGAGTTGCTATAACCAGATTTGTAGGAAACATCACAGATGCTGATATCTACATGTAGGACAGACAGAAAACTGGTCAATTCCATCTGACTTCCAACAATTCAAACATTGAAGGTTAATTATTCTATGCATAGTACTGGCTGCAAGGATATGTTCATACCTATCTGTCTGCATCTCTGTTGATAGGCTGTGAGGAATGGTAAAAAGTAGTAATGCCTAATAGCCACTTAAAAACAAGTATATTAATTACGATTTGACCACACCCGCTTGACCAGTTCCTGTAACTATTTCCAAACTATCAGTTCAAGTAGGAAAATGCTTCTTTTAGAATACAGTTGTCAGGTTACCCTCTCTGGCATGATGTGCACCCCACATCTTTTATTAATTCTTATTTTCAAAGCATATTTTAAACTGCTTCTCAACTAGAACATGTACTAGTAAAGCTTTTTTTTTTTATACAAGCAGTGTTTAAATGAGTTGGTTTATAAAGGCAATGAAATGCTTTTGTTATCATGATTATAGAACATTGTATTTAGAGTGATGGCAAGGGATTTATTGTGCAATAAAATTGTAAGAAATGACATTTTAAAACATGATGGGGATGATTTGGTGCACCAAACATTGATCTAACCAGAAGTTTAGCTATCATTCTTCTCTTGTCTGTGGGAAAAACAATGGACCTTGATTAATAGTTGACATCACTTGACCAGAAATTAAAGAATTAAAGCTTGAGTTTCACTAAGTTTGTATTCGTAGATAATTCAGGGTTCTCACTAAGGCGAGTCCATGAGTATTGGCCGGACTCATCAAAATCTGTCTGGACTCACCATTTTCAAAACTGATGAGTCAAAAGATGTATCAAAATTGAAATATTTTATATAAACTGAATACTCATATCATCATTTTATAGCAAAAGTTTAAAAGTAATCTGAATTCAATGTCATTTCATTGCTCTATTAGGTCATGGAGACTAAAATGATAAATCATATTGCAATAAAATATCTTCTTCTTACTGTTGGACTCACCATGGCCAAAAATGACGAGTCCCTGGACTCGCCTTCAAAAATCCGTAGTGAGAACCCTGAGATATGGTAGAGTCTAAGTAATACATATAATGCTGTGTAAAACAAAAGGATTGTTATCTGTGATTAAAATAGCAGCATATTTGTAAGAGTGGGTGTTAAGATTTTTTACAATTATAATATTAGTAAGAATTTTCTTTTCCTACACCTGATGCACCTAGTAAGACTCATTAGACAGTAATTAATATTTTGACTGTTTAGTGGTGTTAAATGAGTTTGTACTCCATGGCTTTTAAAGTTTAAAATTTTGTTATTGTTACAATAAGCAGCATTGATGTTCAACTTTAAGTAACTAAAAGGTTGAGCATAATTGTATCCAGCTTTGTGACTTGGTGTTGTAAGGTACCCAGTAACTGTCTCATTGATGTTCTCTATACACATCTCAATTAATTATACCCTTGCTTTAAAAATGCGGGGGTATACTGATTTACCTCTGTCTGTCCGTCCGTCGTCCGTCCATCCGTCCCATGAATATTTTTCGTCTCATCTTTCTCAGGAACTACATCATAAGGATTTCTGAAGTTTGGTTTCAGGGTTTATATAAGTCAGCTATACCGTGTGATGCGTTTTCAGATTCATCACTCAACAACTTCCTGTTTACCGAACACTTACATATTTTTACACTATTAAAATTATCCAGTTGCGGCGGGGGTATCATCAGTGAGCAGTAGCTCGTAGTTTCACTTGTTGAAATTGAATGGGGCAAATGTTGGCTGAGTGGTCTAAGTAATATTAGAATATAGCAAAGTACTCTCGACCAATGAAATTGTAGGATTGGATGCCTCTTAATTGTGAAGAATGAATGTAAATCATGTTCTTAGTAAGGGATTATCCTATTATTTGGGTCTATTTACAGTTCAAAACAAAGAGTTTCTATAAATGAGTTACAACTGCCCTGAAGCACATTTATCAGATTGAAAGAATTTATCACAGAGTGATTGAAACTGACTAAAAGTTGAATTGTGAAACAAACAAAAATCTCAAAATAAGTTGAAGTTCACTGGTGCAGTAAAATTGGTACCGTGAATGTTATTATGAAAATATTAATAACTTCAAATTACTATAAAATTAAACAATACCAAAGCAATGCAAAAAAAAAGGAAAAAAATCTTTCAGATAAAAAATAACCTAAATCTTTAGCTTTCCAAAACTTTGATTACTAACGCTCGTACTTATTCATGAAGAAAGGGATTATCATTCTCTTACATATACGAAGGTTGATTTTTTTTTTTCTGTGGTTCCTCCACAACCAATCAATCAGTGTGACATATCTAATTCCTTTTTGTTTCTAATTTTAACTTTCATTGGTCCCCATCATGTTGGATTTAAATTGGAGAATATAAAAGGCTGCATTTAAAAATTAGATTATAGAATAAGGTACATTTTGTGGTTATTAGGTGATGTAAATTCTACAAATATAAAACAGTGCTTTGATACATCATTGCTGATTACATTTTTAAGCATTTGAAAAAAAGTTTTCAGAAAATGTAAATATAAGACGAAGCCATGATGATCATGATGATACAATTTGACTCTGGTGCTATATATTATATTTCTAAGCATGTACAAGTCAATTAGTGTAGATTTTGCTGTATAAACCATGGAAAGTGTATATATTTTAAACCAAAAGTGCAATATTTTATTATTAAAGTATATAGGTTAAAATTTTGATTCTGAAAACCAGAGAATACATTTTGATTTTAGGCAATTTGGCCCTAAATCTTAGCTTCTCCTAACTCAGGATTATGGTCTTTATATCACATTGCTTTCATTTGGCATTGTTTGTGGTTAAACAGATTTTAGAATGACTTGCATCTAGCTTTTATTCAATGAATGCTGCTTTCTGAACACATTTTTTATGTGGCAATGATTTCTTCACAATGACATAGTGAAGTCTTTATAGATATGTTTGGTAAATGATACAAATGCTACATCTACAGAACAAGTTTTCATTCTCAATGATAGTTTTTATTCAGCCTTAAATCTTAAATACATTTGTACTGTTTAATCTTTGCTAATTACCAGAAATCAAATAATTATTATGAATTTTATATTCCCAGTAAAATCTTATTTATTGAGTAGTTCATTGTTTGGTAGATAGACAGATCTTTCAAATTCATCAATAAAAATCACAAGACTGAGTCCAACTCTCTCTAGTATCAACCATTCTGTAGGGGCATCTGTCAGCCACATCCCTGTCTTATCATTATAATGAAAACCAGATTGTCTGTTTAGCATGTGAGACTGTGAGAGAACAATGCCTACAGATCATTAGTGAATGTGTGTAATCAATACTTATATATTGATGTTTGTTTTGTCAAGTGCTATATCAAGATGTGTTCTATAGATCTTTTATAAAATGTATGTAATCAAGGACAATATGAGGGGGTGGATAAAATCAGCTTAAAATTGGCTATAATTAATTATATAAACTTAGAATCTGGAAATTGTTAATATATATTGTATATAAGACATTATTTGCTAGCTTCCAATAGAGCATGACATACACTAGCTAGCTAGCTGAGCTATATTGTACAATATTATATTGGTTAAGCTAGCTTCCAATAGAGCATTACATACACTAGCTACCTAGCTGAGCTATATTGTACAATATTATATTGGTTAAGCTAGCTTCCAATAGAGCATTACATACACTAGCTAGCTAGCTGAGCTATATTGTACAATATTATATTGGTTAAGCTAGCTTCCAATAGAGCATTACATACACTAGCTAGCCTAAGCTGAGCTATATTGTACAATATTATATTGGTTAAGCTAGCTTCCAATAGAGCATTACATACATGTACACTAGCTAGCTAGCTAAGCTATATTGTACAATATATGTAGCAAAGATCTAGTCATTTTCAACTTAAAGTGTTGGAGGGTTAAGTTTTTTTTATAGTGTGAAAGATGCAAAATGAATATATTTAATTATAACAAAAATGAATTGAGTTTAAGTAAACGTCAAAGAAACAACACAAGGTATACAAAATAAACATGTATAAAGCAAGTTCACCTGATCTTTACTTTGAATGAGGACTAAACTGTTTGTATTGAAGGGGGTCATTTATTCATCATTTACAATTCACACACACTTAATATTTGGTTCCAAGATTTTTGAGTTCTCTTTACCATACATATTATATGATTTTAAGACTTTTTTGTCTAATATTTGATCACACAAGTCATAATATTATTCACTACTCAATGGGATTGATTGATTGTTGGTTGCTTAACGTCCAGTGGCAAATATTTCATGCATGTTCAGGATGATCATAACTATACTCAATGAGAGGAATCACACGAATACAAACTTCAGTATGTTTTATTACAGAGAACTTATTTAAAAAATTTTATTGGTCCCTCCATCATCTTGATGATACATATATACATGTAATGTAGACTAATAAATAGGATATCATATAGTGTAATCAAAACTAACAATCTGCCATACTTCACTAATTAGTTGATACTATATAATTATTATCATACTTCACAAAAGTACATTAATCAATGTTTGACCTTCATTACTCTTTGAAAGACCTTGAAATGACAACATTGGGTAAGCTCTGCAACTTGTATTTTATTTAGATAATTTTCAGTGACAGATCAACAATATTGTCGTCCCTTATGTCGCTGTAACAAGCACACAAACACCTAGTTATACTGTATAAATACTATTGAAATGTTTTGTAAAGAAGACATTTGTATGATCAAAACTTGTTATAAGTTATAGGTAACTTTCAGCTGTAAGATTATGTTTTTTTTTCAGGAGAAAATTATGATAGGATCCAGGAGAGCCCTCCAGGAAAGGACTTGCCTTCTAACCAGACTGGTGAAAAGTCTGGTGGGCAGGAAGGAGGATCAACACCAAACTCTCCAGAAAACAAAGGCCCGGCAAAGCCACTTAGTACGGCGTGGGAAACAGCAATAGGTGCTGCAACAGCCTCCACAATGACACGAAAACGTGCAAATGCACGAAAACAACAAACTCAAAATGTGCGACCACAGAGAGCTTTATTTTGTTTGACGTTAAACAATCCTATGAGGAAACTATGTATTCGTGTTGTAGAATGGAGATATCCTTTAAAAAATAATGCATTCAAGGAGTAAACAAAATTCTGTTATCAGCATTTGATTAAATTGAAATGGATTTTTTGTACATAAAAATGTGGTTCAGCTGATTTTCTGTAGGTTGAATGTGGTAAGGGTGATTTTCTCTACGTAAGTATGTGATAAGAGAAATATGTTTTTTATGTATTTATTGATTGTTGTGTTTCCTGTGTTCAAAGAGATACAATCTTCAAACAGTGCAAATCATTCAATTATTTGTGCAATGAAAGATTTTGTAAATGTTCTCTAAGCCAGGCAGGAAAAGTCATGGAACAAGTTTGTCATGAAAATAATACAGTGATATTTGTTAGCAAGTTTCAAACTTCAGTTTAAAAAAATGTAAGAACAACAATTTTCCCTTTAAGTGGATACAAAAATAATCATAAGTTACGTAGCTAGATCACAGTTGTAGAAAAACACCAGCCTTCTTCCTACTTTTGTTCTGCAAATTTGAAGATATATTTTTTTCATTTTTTAGCATTTTTCTGAAAGAGGGACTTTTAAGTTTTATCTGTGTCGCCAATGTCAAAAGAAGGTTTAGTAACCGCTCATCTCCGTCTGTTATTATGTATGTCCGTCGAAAAGGGTAGAAAACTTTCTTTAAAAGTTTTCTTGACTTTTATGTTAGGGAAGCATTTTTATATTTGGTTTACAGCTTGACAATATATTGAGTTGTGATGTGAAAGCAATTTTAGATATATGCTGTACAAGTTTGCAGATAGTTTGAAATTTGATGACACACATTGTACACAAAAAAAGTTTTGTCAAATTTTTCTTGGCTTCTATAGCAGTGAATAATTTTATATTTAGTCTTAAGCTTGATAATGTTGAGTTGTAGTGTATAAGGAATTTTTACATCTGTCATGTAGCCACGTCTTGTTTTGTGATAGTTTGAAATTTTACAACATTCATTGTACAAGGAAAATGCTTCAATACACATGTTACCGCAGTTATCCCATGCAGCAATGCAGGTCCAGACCAGGTATTGGTCTTGTTTGCAGTTAATATATACATAGAGTCTGGCCCTGGCATGCCCAACCTTCACAATATTATGAAACTTGGACAGAACATTCTTCAAGATCAAGATTGAAGAAATGACTTTTTTGGGACTATTTTGCTACAATAACCCTAGTGAAAGCAATTCTTCTGAGACTCTTTGTCACTTTTATCTGAGTATTTGTTTGTGAAATATGGGACTTTGACCTTTTTTGGATTGTTGAACTTATTTTGATGCAGACATGCTATCTGTAAAGGCTCCCGTCTTATTCCTTAAGTTTTGGAAAGTAATGGATATTGAGTAGATAACATGGGAAAAAAATAATTTTATGCAATTCTATGATATTCCTCTAGTTTTGGAAAATATTAATTGGATATTGGGTAAACTTACATGGGACAAAAATATTTCCACACAATACTTAAAAAAAAAAATCAAATATATAATGAATCAAAGAAAAAGATTTAGAATTGCTAGTCTTCATCTCAATTGAGTGGCGATGACTTTTATTTTATAAGAATGAACTCGTATGGCAAAGTGTAAAATGTGCTGATTCTATTCTGAATGGTATTATGACAATAGAGTGTGTTGTTTTCCCAATCACTGGGTTTAATATTGTATATGTATAATGAAGTTGTGCAATAATACTTTTGTTTTCCTTAATGATATTTACGCCTTTTGAGTTTTTAATTCTGCTGACCATCTTTGCCAACTGTGTTGCACTGGCTATTTACACTCCATATCCACAGGGGGACTCAAATGCAGTCAACCAAGCTTTGGTAAGTATTCTTTATAGATAATATGTAAAGTTGGCAAATAATGGATTATTGAGGTTTTTCTCAACTTAAATAAATGTTGAAGGAGGTTTTTTTTCATGAAATATTTTAATAAGTTGTATTATGGGGACTTTTTTTTAAGGGGACTTCAGACAATATCCAATATAAGATCTTGCTGCTGGGATGGTAGCTTCATTTGAATATAAGGTATGGTTTCTAGTAGAAAATTTGGGAACATTTCAAGACTTGTAAAATATATCTCTTTTATTCTTATCACTTTAATAAATAAGGCTTCATATCTCATGGCAATACTTTCAAAAATGAAAATATGCCAGCAGGCCACTACTAGCTCTTCCCCTTTTATGTGGGGTACATGCCAGCAGGCCACTACTAGCTCTTCCCCTTTATGTGGGGTATATGCCAACAGGCCACTACTAGCTTTTCCCCGTTGTGTGGGGTATATGCCAGCAGGCCACTACTACCTCTTCCCCTTTATGTGGGGTATATGCCAGCAGGCCACTACTACCTCTTCCCCTTTTATGTGGGGTATATGCCAGTAGGCCACTACTAGCTTTTCCCCTTTATGTGAGGTATATGCCAGCAGGCTATTACTAGCTTTTCCACTTTATGTGGGGTATATGAGCTTGGTCGCTTTGGCAAATTGTGTCATGGTGTAAAGAGAAACATTTATTTACATGCAAACACCTTGGATAAAAGTATTGAAAATTGAATGTATTTAATATGAGCTAAAGCATATAGCGATGAACTGTTTATTTGTTAATTCTCAGTGCTTCAACTGGTAATATTTCCTATATTTGTATGGCATCAATGATAAACTCAAGCTGAATCAATCATGTTGAAATAAGCTTTACAAACATCCTCATCTAAACTCATTGATTCAGTCTAATCAAATTCTGAATAAAAAGAAATTCATCAATGCGATGGATCAAATTTAAACATATGTGTTTGTTCACTCCCTAAGTGTTGTAATCATCACCTGGTTGTTTGTTCAAACATCTTTCAGGTACAGTTTTGTCTTTGGTTTGTGTACATTAGGCAGATTTGTTTTTGGAATGTTTTGGAAACTTTACAAGACTGAGCCATTTGCATTGTGATAAACACCCTTGGCATATGTTTTTTAAAAGCTTTCATTCATGCAGAAGTTAGTCGATATTATCCACTGGGCAATAACTATGTTGGTAAATTCTTACATACAAGGCAAATGCAAGTCAAGGAGGACTTTGCCAAATGTAGTTTGTGTTAGCTTGAAAATTAGGTACTTACTGGATGAGTTATATATATTACTTTACTGTAACTAACAGCAAGCCTTGCAATGAACAATCGGTCAGACTCTTTACAATAATCTTTTTTGGTTACACTTGGGTTTTAAGACAGTTTTATCTTATTAAGGCCCCATCAATACAACAAGGTGTGCTGCAACCAAGAAAATAGGTAAAGAAGTTGTAGATCCTCTGTGATGGCTCTTATCACTATCTGACTATCCACAAGTACTCTCTGTGATGGCTCTTATCACTATCTGACTATCCACAAGTTCTCTCTGTGATGGCTCTTATCACTATCTGACTATCCACAAGTACTCTATGTGATGGCTCTTATCACTATCTGACTATCCACAAGTACTCTCTGTGATGGCTCTTATCACTATCTGACTATCCACAAGTACTCTCTGTGATGGCTCTTATCACTATCTGACTATCCACAAGTACTCTCTGTGATGGCTCTTATCACTATCTGACTATCCACAAGTACTCTCTGTGATGGCTCTTATCACTATCTGACTATCCACAAGTACTCTCTGTGATGGCTCTTATCACTATCTGACTATCCACAAGTACTCTCTGTGATGGCTCTTATTACTATCTGACTATCCACAAGTACTCTCTGTGATGGCTCTTATTACTATCTGACTATCCACAAGTTTCTTTTACAAAATGGCAAGATACTATTTTCATAATTTGCTTTTGTGCACACAATCTGTCCTTTTATAAATATTTGAATATATCAGGTTTACTACTTGAGTGTTTCAGTGGAATTAAGCATTGAAATGGGAACATTACCCATCAGACCATTGTTTCTAAGTCTGAACTAATATAACATTGATCATCCTTATATTTGTTTGTATTAAGAGTTTTCAGAAGTTGTTGATTAATTTTCACAGTTAAGTTTTTTAGTTTTGCATTTTCACAGTTTGTACAAACTTAATACACATGTGTGCTTGTAATAATTTACAGGTTTTAGTAGGACTGTACTCATTAAGCACTACATGTGTAAGATTTTACTAGGACTGTACTCATTAAGCACATTATGTATAAGGTTTTACTAGGACTGTACTCATTAAACACTACATGTGTAAGATTTTACTAGGACTGTACTCATTAAGCACATTATGTATAAGGTTTTACTAGGACTGTACTCATTAAGCACTACATGTGTAAGATTTTACTAGGACTGTACTCATTAAGCACTACATGTGTAAAGTTTTACTAGTGAGACTGTACTCATTAAGTACAGCATGTATAAGGTTTATTAGGATTGTACTCATTAAAAATTAAATTTGCCCATGTGTAAAGATTTACTAAGACTGTACTCATTAAAGATTAAATTTGTAAATGTTTAAAGATTTACAAGGACTGTACTCAATGAGTACCACATGTATAAGGTTTTACAAGGACCACATGTGTAAGGTTTTACAAGGACTGTACTCAATGAGAACCACATGTATAAGGTTTTACAAGGACCACATGTGTAAGGTTTTACAAGGACTACTCAATGAATACCACATGTATAAGGTTTTACAAGGACCTCCTGTGTAAGGTTTTACAAGGACTATTCATTGAGGACCACATGTATAAGGTTTTACTAGGACTGTACTCAATGAGTACCACATGTATAAGGTTTTACAATGACCACATGTGTAAGGTTTTACAAGGACTACTCATTGAGGACCACATGCATAAGATTTTACTAGGACTGTACTAAATGAGGACCACATGTATAAGGTTTTACTAGGACTACTCATTGATGACCACATGTATTAAGTTTTGCTACGAACAACAGCCGTAATTATTGAGCTTGACATGTGAGTTTTTTCAAGGACTGTACTCTTTGTGTACCACACTTGTGAGTTTCTTCTAGGACTGTACTCTTTGTGTACCACATTTGTGAGTTTCTTCTAGGACTGTACTCTTTGAGTATCGTATGTCTGAGGTATTGCAAGGAAAACTGTCAGAATCTTTGTGTTTTGTTCTTCAGGTTTAATATATTTCTGACATAAGTTAACTTATTCTTTAAATTTTCACAGTTTAGCCAGTATAGATATGAACTGTAGTTGTCCCTCAGTAATCTTTAAATGTCATCATACATATGTTTCTGAAATTTATAACATAAATGTCAAATTTAATTATCATTTGTCCAAACATAAGTAAGAATTTTTTACTAATGGGTAAACCACTATGAAAAATAAACATTGCAGTCTCGGTTATATTCCAAGGTTTTGTATCTGTATATATTTATTTAAAAAAAATATGTAATTTGTAGAATTATAAATTTTATTCAATGGGTCTTGGCATCACATGACTGTCTTCAGTGGACTGCTTCATAGTCTAAATCTTTAATTGATTAATATCAGTTCAAGATTCTGTGTTTTTATTCCTACTACTTTTGTAGGGTTTCATCTGGTTTCCTATCCTGCTTTTTTGTTGACCCCCCTCTTTCATTTTCCAGGTGGTTGTGAAGTGAAACAAACAGTGATAATATAGAGAGAATTCTGCATTAAAAGTCTTAAATGATTCCTATTCTCCAGTTTAGTTTTTGCCAAACCCAGTAGAGTAATGTCTTGCCTTTACCAATGGTTATTGTCAATGGTCATCTAATTAAGCCATTATTGTCAATAGTCCTATGATGACCATCCATACACAAGGGATAATTCAAGTGGTCAGTGTTTATTGATACATTAGGTTAATTATTGATTAGAAGTCATTGATCTCTTCCCATTTGATTGCCTGACGGACAGAATTAGCCATTTGATGTAATCAATCTGTATAAAAATTATAGGAGAAAATCATTGACGTAATTGTCAAAGTACATGAAGTATGGACAAGTTTCAGTTTGGAATTTTATCTGGCAGTTAGTTAAAATATCATGCTTACAAGTAGATTCCATTTGGTAAACATAGATATTAAACCATTACATTTACTGTGGTTTTATAATGTGAGATATTAAACCATTACATTTACTGTGGTTTTATATTGTGAGGGTACACAAATTCAACCTATCTTGACAGTTTTTTCACCTACATTTTATTTTAAATTTAGACAAGAGCTTCCATTCTGTGTAATTTGTATATTATATTCTTAATCACTATATAGTTCCACCAATTTAGATTTTAATCTATACTGAGTCATAGAAAAATTGGTTAGAACCGACCTTCAAATGACCCAAGATTATGAAATGACGAGTACCTAGATTAACATCCCTATAAATTGAAGATCTGATATTTGTTTAATTTCTCCACATTTTTAGAACAATTTGACATTATTCAATGTTTACTTTTCCTTTTTTGTCTCACCTGCAACGAAAGTAAAGTTGCGGAAAGCGAGACATAGGGATTGCTTTTCCGGCGACTCCAGCTCCGGCGTCAACAATTATTAAGTTTTCTTCTTAAGTTAGTTTGATAGGAACTACTTGTGATAGATCATTGATATTTACTATAAAGTTGCATTACTATCAGAACATATCAGTTTGACGACTATTTCAAGGCCCTGTCCCCTAAGTCATGGTCCAGTGACTTTGAATTAATAAGCAATTTTCTATGTTATGATTTATGCTTAAGCTAGTTTGATAGGATCTATTTGTGATAGATCAATGATATTTTGTATGAATTTGCATTACTATCAGTTCATATAAGTTTGATGACTATTTCGAGGCCCTGCCCCCTAGGACATGGTCCAGTGACTTTGAATTAATTAGCAATTTTCAATGTT